GAGATCTCTATCGACGACAATTGATGCGTTTGAGCCGAGCATTGAAAGAAAAACGGCCGCAATATGAGCAAAGACACTATAAGGTGATTTTGCTGCATGATAACGCTCGACCGCGGGTGTATATCAGTTGGACACGAGGCAATTGGACACAGTCCAATCACAAGTCGCTGTTCCAAGGGACCCTACAAATGTCTCTAATCACACGGTGCTGTGATTGGCTGTGTCCAAATGCACCGTGTCCAAGTGCACCGCTCCACTCGGCCGCATGTCGCGTCACCGGGCAAAACATACCTGGAAACGCTGAAATGGGAAGTCCTACCCCACCCGCCGTACTCTCCAGACATTGCGCTTTCTGATTACTATTTATTTCGATCGATGACTAATGGCCTGGCTGAGTAGCACTTCACTTCGTATGAAGAAACGAAAAAATGGATCGATTCGTGGATAGCCGCAAAAGAAGTGTTGTTTTTTCGACGTGGAATTCAAATGCTGCCAGAAAGATGGGAAAAAGTAGTCTCCAGCGATGGGCAATACTTTAATTGACTTGTTTTTTTATTATTTTTTTTAAATAAAGGATTTATTTTCACAAAAAACGGCGAGAACTTATTCACACTCCCAATATTAATAATAATTAAATCTGTTTTGTTATTATTAATTATTAACTTTCCTAATCATTTGTAGAGGGAATCTGTATTTAGATTTTGACAAAATTGGCCTAATTGGAAAATCTTCTAACTCCTTTGTAGTTATAAAGTAAACATGTATAGTTTTTTTTTAATTATATCTCAAAATTAGTTGTTGGTAAAAATTGTAACAATTTAAATTGACGCAGTTTAGTAATATTCTTAAATATAATTTCATTGGATAGACATTCTTCGTTAAAAATGTTGGTAAAAATGTAGGTTAAAAATTCAACAATATATTTTAAGTAAGTCAATGAAACAATTACACCTTAATATATGGTTCCCAGGAAGAAATAATTCGTCGATAGACATGAAAACCATGAAATCGACGTTGATTCGACGTCATTCCGACGTCAATCAACTAATAATTTGTGGGAATGCTTTTATACGATGTACATAACATTTTACTTTATAATTGTGAAAACCAATGTCTTAAATTTCGTAATTAGAATTAGATTTCCTTTATAAATTTTTAAATGCAACACTTTGCATATTATTATAAGTTAAACATGCTATGTAATATCATGAAATATGTTGTAATATAGTGTATCATAAAAACAGTAAAGGTTACATTTTATAGAATCATCAAAAAGTATATGCGGCGAAAACACATCAAGTAACAAACGTCAATTACAAACAGTTAATTCAGTGGCTGGCAAAGTTTCATATGAACGTAGTAAGCATATATCAGGAACAGTTTGGGATACTTGCAATAATTATTATTCATCGCAAAATGATGAACGTGAAGTACAAGTAATGAAACAGAATATGTGTGCAATAAAACTGGTATGTATTTACATAGTGTTTCACATCATATTATAGTATATCGAAGGTTCATCTATTTCTAGTATCACTAGACGTAACGTGGAAATTAATAATTATTATTTATTTTACCTTTTCTAATTATGTTATTAATTATTAGTTATTTTTGTCATTTTTATGATTACCATCATATTTTCCAGATAGCAAACACATCATTTTGATGTTAAAAACTGCTCATAATTGGTTCAATGATGTCATGTGAACAAATAATGTCGACTTTAAAACGTCAAATTTATGACGTCTTAATAACGTTTCTATACAATGTCTTACTGACGTATTGTCATCGAACATCATGAGATGTCATAAACATGTTACTAAAATGTCTTAAATTATCATCATCAGATTGTGATATTTGACCATCATTTTGTCGTCCTTTTTATTTCATTTTTGATAATTATAGGTCATTTCTTGGTTATTGAATGACTAGAAAAACGATGTCAAAATGACATGTATCTGTTATCTGGGTTATTATTATTGTCGTGCTCATTATTTCGATAATTATTTTCATATTATTTATTATTACTTTATTATATAAAACAGGAAAGTTTTGTATTTTTTCTTTTAATAGACTTTTTAAATAATGTTTTATGCTTTGACATACATTGACAGCATAAATCCACTGATCCAACAAGAAATGATTCATCGACCGATGTCAAAACTATGTCGAATCAATGTCAATTTCATCGTTTCGACGTCGATTCAACATCGTTTCGGCGTCGATCAATGAATCATTTCTCGCTGGGAAATAATCTGAATCGTTTTGTGCAAAATGAGAACAAGGAAATTAACATTTATCTTTTGTTTTCATTCACAATAGTGCTTAAGTATTTCAAAGAAATAATTCGTCAGCAGTCTTATTGTATTATTATATATAAACGCAATTGTGGCAAATGGCAGATGATGTGAGAGACATTAAAAATGATCTGCTGCAACAAACCTTTTAAAGACAAAATGTGAATCAAAATGCGAGAGAAAAATCAATTTATTCTTTTCTGATCTTCCTTTTAACTCTGTGAAAGATTTAAAAGAACATGTCCAGCAATTTTTGAACCAGCCGAATAATTTCAAAGCATCGGTAATACTGTAACTTTATGATATTAAATTATATATAACGCATATAACAGCAAGTATAACATAGCGAAATTGTTATAACTCTTGTATATGTTAGTTTTTTTACTTTTAGTAAGTTTTATTGCACATTTAGTTTTTAATTGGTAACTTATTTTTTAAGTCTGTTCATTTTACAAATGACAACCTGTAAGGATGCAATCACATGGAGATCGAAAGAGCGAGACCAAACCACAACGGTAAAGCGATTTAGCCAATCAGAGTAGTTGAAATTGAAACAGAATTATTCTAAATGATTAGATCTCTTTTCCCTTCTGCTTTCGTTCTGCTCTTTTGATTTTCATGTGAGTACACTCAGTCTACGGCACACGTTAGTACGTGTTTTTGCGTATCAAAGTACATGCGACCTACCATGCAAACTAATATACTTGTTATTGGCTACAAATTTTGTACGTTGTAATACAACGGTTGTATGCTATCTTGCATGTTAGCAATCTTGTTTCCAAAGATAAGACCGGTGATATTTTCACTGCATATTTAGCAATGCTAAGCAAGATTTATTAGATACTGTAAATGTTTTAAAACGCCGTATAGCTTCCTAAGCGTATGTAATTCAAATAAACCTTAGATAAAGTTGGGTCGGTTACATAATGCGAGAGTTACCTTTATAGAAATATCATACTAAGAATCATTGATAATTACTTATTTTCAGTATTAAAAATACTGGATAATAAGTAATTATCAATGATTCTTAGTATGATATTTCTATAAGGGTAGGTTAATTAAATTCAGTTTTAATGGAAGAGCTGAATATACTCGACCGATTAAATTAATTGGCGTTAGTAAATATGGTCTTTAAAGTACATGATAAGTATGATCTGTGTCAAGCAAAAATCAGCAACTTTACATTTTAGTAGTATTCGCAATTCACAAAGCAGAGCGCAACAAATGTATCAGTAAAACACATTGCCGTAATCTTTAACTATAACCATACATACATAAGTCTTTATCAATATCTCTAAAATAATTAATATGTTAATTAAGAATGCCAACGATATCTTCTAATTCTATTTTTATATAATTATATTTGAATTTGGAGACTGGAGTAATGATTACAATTATAATTATTAAAATATTTATTTATTTTATAACAAAGTGATATTTATTATAGGTTGCAGAAATTTCTCGCATTGGAGGAAAATCACCATACGAATTTATAAAACGCAATTGTAGTCGTTTACTGACCAACGAATTGAAAAATATAGCTGGTTTGGAGCGAAAGCAAAATGAAAATTTTGCTATTTAAAACTCGCTGACTTGCTAGTTTGTAAGAATGTGATATCCCACACAGCACGTAATATTATATAATATCACAGTAATATTATATAATATCACAGTAATATTTCCATAATATTGTTACAATATATTTGATTATATATTTAAATAAGATTTAATTAAATGCTATCTACTTATTTCAGTGGCAAGTGAACTAAATTAAAGAGAGGTGTTCTTAAATTGCGTTTATTTGCAAGGTATATTAAATATATTTAAAACAACAATATCTACTTGGTTATGGTAGTATAAATAAATAAATAAATATAAATTTATTCATATTATCATTATGTGGTATTCATGATATGTAAAAATACTAATATAAAAAAATTCATAGATTTTAAGTTACTTATATTGTCTTATAAATATATGATATAACAAATAAATATGTCAAAAAAATAAAAGTAAAAAATAAAAAATAAAACACATCTTTTCCTACGAACTATTTTAAAACTTTGTAATTTAGTTTTAACATCATAGGGTGTTTTCCAATTGCACATTTTGACACAAAACCAGTTTATTGCTTTATTATCTAAAATATCTTGTAAGAGTTAATATATAACCAATAAATTGGTTTTGTGTAACGCACAAAACATAACTGGAAAGCACCCATAGTAAGTCCAATACACGTCCAAAATAGGTCCAGAAACGGTCTTATTTCGGACATTTTATGGATGTCCAAAGTTGTATCAAACGTACATTCTATGGACGTACATCGGACGTGAAACGAATCTATTTTGGACCTTTATTGGACGTCGATGTCCAGAAATGGATGTCCGATGGACGTCCATCGGATGTCCATGTGCTATCTGGGTAAGCAATCTTACTGTAGGCAATAATTTTTGTGCGCAAACGTGCATTCGTCTCTTAATTTTTATTTGTGCGCAATAAAGCATATAATACTGTAGGCAATAATATGGTGTGCAATGTGATTTGTGCGCAAGTGTCATGTGTGCAAACGATCGTTCGGCTTTTAATTTTTTATTTGTGCGTAATACAACTTGTAGGTAATTGTCCTGTAGGCAATAATTTTTGTGTGCAAATGAAATGTGGATAAGTTGAATGTCAGCAACCGATACTGTAGGCAATTAATTTGTAAGCAATCGGGACCCTCCCTTATAAATCACTAATTCCAATAAAGTGAAGTGTAGAAAAGTCAGTGCTTTATGAACGAAAATGATAACTGTTGTAGTTGGCGAAAGAAAGCCAGAGACATATAAAAGGTTCACCGTGACGTACATCGAGACGAACGCGCCCTTTCACACTTTACCTAAAGCAGTTGTATTTTCCGTAATATTATAAACCACTAATCCTAATACACCAAAATGAGGAGAAGTCAGTGCTTTTTTAATCGATATCTTTTGTATTTGCCAAAATTAAGCAATACATGCTAGCGGCATATAAAAGCCTAAGCACGACGTCGCGGTCAAGTGCTTATATGCCGCCAGTATTTTCTGCTTTTTTTCGGCAGCTACAAAAAATATCAATTTCGTTCAAAAAGAACTGAATTTTCCTCACATCACTCTATTGGTATTAGTGGTTGGTAATATTACGAATAATATCACTGCTCTTTAGGTAAAGCGTGGAAACGCGCGTACGTCTGGACGTCGCGGTCAAGTGCTTGTATGCCACCAATATTTTTTGTTTTCTTTCGGCAACTACATGAGATATCGGTTTCGTTCAAAAAGTATTAGCTTCTCCACACTTCACTCTATTGGAATTTATGGTTTATAACGTTACGAAAAATATCCCTGCTTAAGGTAAAGCGTGGAAGCTCACGTATGTCTCGATCTCGCGGTCAAGTGCTTATATGCCGTCAGTATTTTTTGCATTCTTTCGGTAACTACAAACGATATCGATTTCGTTCAAAAAGAACTGTTTTTCTCTGACTTTACTCTAATCCAATTAATGATTTATCATATTACGAATAATACTACTACTTCAAATAAAGTGTGGGAGCGCGCGGACGTCCGACGTAGCGGTCAAGTACATGTATGCCACCAATATTATTTGCTTTCTTTCGGCAACTGTATGAGATATCGGTTTCGTTCAAAAAGCACTGACTTCTCATTTTACTGTATTCGAAAAAGTGGTTTATAATATTACGAATAATATCATTGCTTTAGGTAAAGTGTGGAAACGCACGTATGTCTCGATGTACGTCGCGGTCATCCTCTTATATACCGCTAGCATTTTTTGCTTTCTTTCAGCAACTACAAAAGTTATCGATTTCGTTCAAATAGCACTGACTTCTCCGCACTTCACTCTATTGGAATTAGTGGTTTATAATATTTCGAAAAATACTGCTTTAGGTATAGCGTGGAAGCGCGTGTACGTCTCCACGACGCGGTCAAGTGCTAATATGCTGACAGCATTTTTTGCTTTCTTTCGGCAACTGCAAAAGATATCGATTTCGCTTCCACACTTTACCTAAAGCAGTGGTATTATTCGTAATATTATAAGCCACTAATTCCAATAGAATGAAGTGGAGAAGTCAGTGCTTCTTGAACGAAATCGATATCTTTTGTAGTTGCCGAAATTAAAGAATAAATGCTAGCGACATGCAAAAGGATGATTGTGACGTACATCAAGACGTAAACGCTTTACCTAAAGCAATAGTATTATTCGTAATATTATAAACGACTAATTCGAATACACTAAAATGAGGAGAAGTCATAGCTTTTTGGACGAAACCGATATCTTATGTAGTTGCCGAAAGAAAGCAAAAAATATTGGCGGCATAGAAGCACTTGACTGCGACGTAGAGACGTACGCGCGCTTCCACGCTTTACCTAAAGCAGTGTTATTTTTTGTAATATTACAAACCAATAATTCCAATAGAGTAATGTGAGGAGAGGTGTTTACTTTTTCAACAAAATCGATATCTTCTGTAGTTGCCAAAATTAAGCAATAAATGCTAGCGGCATGTTTAAGAGACTCAGCGCGACATATGTCTCGACGTCGCGGGCCAGAGCTTATATCCAGCATTTTTTGCTTTCTTTCGGCAACTACAAAAGATATCGATTTCGTTCAAAATGCACTGACTTCTCCACACTTTACTCTATTGGAATCAGTTGTTTATAATATTACGATTAATACCATTGCTTTAGGTAAAGTATAGAAATGCACGAATGTTTTGATGTTGCGATCAAGCTTTTACATGCCGTTAGCATTTATTCCTTATTTCTCGGCAACCACGAAAGGTATCGATGTTATTTAAAGAGCACTAGTTTTTCCACAATTTATGCTACTGGAATTAATGTTTTATAATAATGCGATTAATATCGTTGTGTTATGTAAAGCATGGAAGTGGGCGTGCTTTTCGGCGGTGTGGTTCTCGCATATACACATACATATGATATTTCGTACGCATATACACGTAAATAAATTTATGACAGTGCGTAAAGAGAAAAGATCATGTGCATGTTGAATGGAATATAAGTTCGTACGCAATAGTCCATGTTCTGAACCACGCAATTATGCGCTTAGCACGGACATGAATCGTCAGGAAATGGGCGTAGAATATACACGCACCGAATCGCTGCTTTACCGGCATCGTCTGAAAATGGGCGTAGAGAACGTAGTTCCACCTGAAAAATGGGTGCAGATGGCGCATCACATCAGCGTGAAAATCGGTGTCGCCCAAAACATATGGCGTGGCCGTTTTCAGGCTTCTCTCTAGTAGCAGAGATATCTTGATGAAATTTTAAATATCTGGGAGACATCTGTATGTGATATCTCATACGGATGTCTTTCGAAAGTTTCTGAAATATTTGTGACTTAAACAGGATATCCTTGTTACATCATGTGCTATATGGAAAAGTAATATCTGTTCACTTCGATCATAAAGTATATATTTCAATGTGAAGTCGGATGCAAAATAAATTTGATTTAGAATATACTACTGTGTCCATAAAGTAAGACCAGTTTTCAATTTAAATCGCGCGGGTAAACCGCACATCATAAATATTTTTTTTCTAAATTGGCAGCATTGTGACAGACATCTGTGACAAATTTCATGTCAAAACATTCATTACTTTTTGCTTTACGCTTGGTTTTGTACGACGCTAAAAGTGCATTCGGCGATTTTTACAATGTCTAATTATATTGAGCAAAGAAGTTGCATTAAATTTTGTTTGCGGAATGAAATTTCGGGTGCAGAAACGTTCAGGATGTTGCAGAAAGCCTTCGGGGACCATGCTTTGTCGGAAAGGAATGTTTACAAGTGGTATAAACAGTTCAAAGAAGGTCGTGAAAGTGTTGAAGACGAAGAGCGTTCCGGACGACCATCAACCTCTACCGATGAACAACACGTCAAGAAAATCAAAGAACTTGTGCTTGCTAATCGTCGAATGACTGTTAGAGACCTTGCTGATGCTGTTGGTATTTCGAAAGGATCTGCCAATACCATTTTGAAAGATATTTTAGGCCTGAAACGTGTAAAATCTCGACTAGTGCCAAATGCACCTTCTCACACTGCACTCGTTCTTCGTGACTTTTTCGCCAAAAATTCGATCCATATCATTCCACAACCACCGTATTCGCCTGATTTAGCACCGTGTGACTTCTGGCTATTCCCAAAACTCAAAAGACCACTGCGGGGAAATCGTTTTGAGACGATAGAAGAGATACAACGTGAATCGCTACGCGCTCTGAAAGCCATCCCGGAAGGCGACTTTAATTCTTGTTTCGAGGACTGGAAAATACGTTGGCATAAGTGTATTGTGTCGGGAACGGGTTACTTTGAAGGCGACGAAATAGATTTGGAAAAATAAATAAATATTTTTTGAAATAAATAAAAACTGGTCTTACTTTTTGGACACAGTAGTATGTAATATTTTTATTTTACTTTCGGGCTTTTTCAATTTATGCTTTATTAATGTTCTATAAATTGTTTTTATTTTTGGTATAGCCTTTTTAAAAACGCAGAAACATAAATATATTACATTTTCCAATCATTTGTGTATCAATCTGCATGTTACTCCTTTACAAACTGTCGGAAAATAAGTCACATATTACGTGACTCGTGCCGTGCCAGTAACACTTTCATAAGCAACCGGCTGAGAAAGCCGCGGTTAGAACACCTGGCAGCTCTAAGGAGCAAGAGATCAATAAGCAAAACAAATTGTCAAAGTTATATCACTTTAATACACATTCACTCACAATTTACTTTCCAATTTTTGTTTTACGCGTAAGGTACATTAACGATCGACGAGTACCGAATAGATTAGTAAGCTCGCTCAAAGGTGCAGCTGCAGCTGCCAAGAAGTAGCGAGCGCCGAGCAGTCCATCTCGGTAAAAAACGACGGCTAAAGAGCAGAGCGATAGCTTGATAGGTCGTTAAAGACAAGCAACGACAAGGCAAACGAAAGCGGCAAGCGAGACGCAATGTCCTTATAATTCGAGCTCGCGCAGGAGACTGACTACTCAAGTCCGTCAAATCTATAGACTCTCGCTACAGAATATTCTAAAAGGAAATGACGTTCCTTCTAGAACACTCCGCAGCGAGAACCTAAAAGGAAAACATGTTTTGTTTCGAGGCGCGAGCCTCGCAATTAGCTTGCGAGGTTTAGCTAAGCGCTCTTACGAGGCTCTGGCGCGACCGCGGCTAGCATGACTCGCAAATTCGCCTATCAACTTCAACCGCTCCTAAACATTCCGCCCGCCTCGGTGTGATCACCGAAGCCCCTTACTGCCGTGGTTAAGGTCGTCTTGAGCGCCTGAGCCATCCAAGCTTGTCGGCGTTGGTAACAGATTCCCAGTCCCTCCCATCTGACCTCGGCCCTGCTAAATGTGGTGGACACACAGTCGGTAAAAGTCGGTCACTCTCTAGAGTGCAAGTTAATTGCAAGTTTCGCCGTAATTATATTCCAACGGAATTCAAGTAGTGGAGCAGATTACTAAGGAAGATAAAAAACAAAAAAAAAAGGAAGAACAAAAGAAGAAAAGATGCCCAATCATACGGTTATGTCTTAAGTTTGCCGCTCTTCAGGGTGCTCAGCGTCAGCAGCCGGCAATAGGACAATCTTTGCTACTGGGCGCTTGAGCTCTGAGGACGCAGACCAAACGGTAACTACCCTGATAAGGCCATCCTCTCCAGGGTGCACTTGGGAAATCCTTGCCAGTAGGGGGACACTCTCATGCCGAATAAGGCAGAGGTGGCCGATTCGCACTTGGTCACTAGCGGCCCACCACTTTGGTTGTTGAAGGGAGTGAAGAGACTCGCTCGACCACCGCTCCCAAAAATGGTCCCTCATCTTCTGTAGGAGCCGCCACCTCGACCCTAGCTTGGCCGATTCTTCCAGGAGGCTCGGTTCAGAAACGGCAATGAGCGCTGACCCGATAAAGAAATTCCCCGGAGTCAAAGCTGCCCAATCGTCAGGGTCATCAGTCAAGGCTTATAGGGACCTTGAATTCAGGCAGCCCTCCACTTGGGTGAGGAGAGTGCTCATTTCCTCGTAAGTGAGGGTCGCCTCGCCCAATACTCGCCGGAGATAGTGCTTCAGTGACTTCACGGTTGCTTCCCAGAGGCCTCCGAAGTGGGGCGCCGACGGTGGGTTGAAACTCCACTGGATCTGGTCGCAAGCCAATTGCTCCGCAATGCGCCGTTGCTGGCTGTGAAGAAGTCACGCAGTTGTGCGTTTGCTCCGACGAAGTTTGTGCCACAATCACTGGAGATGCTACGGCATAGTCCTCACCGAGATGTAAAACGGCGCAAAGTAGGTAAGAAAACTTCAAAGGTGTAATCGAAGACCACTTCCAGGTGGACAGCCCTTGTAGCCAGGCAGACAAACACCGCAATGACCGCCTTATACGCTTTATGGCCGTGTTCCCTGGTCGTCCGCAGCACCGGTCCGGCGTAGTCCACTCCAGTGTGAAGAAAAGATCTCGTAGGTGTCATTCACTGTCGCGGCAGGTCACCCATCAGCTGCTGAGTAGACGCCGCCCGCCATCGCACGCAAGTGACGCAGCGTCAATGGCCGCCTTGACCACCGGCCACTCACCCGGGATCCAGTACCACTGCCTCACCGCTCCGAGAGTCAGCTACACTCCTCCGTGGAGGGTTCGTCTGTAGATTGCCTCAATGACGAGCTTCGTGAAATGAGACGAGCCCGGAAGAATCACCGGATGCCTCTCATCGTAGGCCAGGAGAGCGTGCTTAATTCGTCCCCCAACTCGGAGGGTGCCTCGCGAGTCCACAAATGAACTGAGTTTGAGGAGGGAGCTGCTTTTGGCAATGGTGCTGCCACGAGCTAGCGCCCGTAATTCATCAGCGAAAAATCTGGCTTGCACCACTTCGATCCAAGTCCAGAGAGCGTCCTCAATTTCGTCTGCTGATAGGGTGTTTCCCTACAGCGGCAGCGCCGGCTGAGCCTCCACCCCGGCGACCCGTCCAGCCGATCCACGTCCGCCCAGCCATCGGCGACACCAGGCCGTCACGCGCAGCAAACAATGTAGCGACGAGAACTGCATCAGCTCTTCAGGCTCCTCGACACGAATCCGCTGAGTCATGATAAGGAGAATTCGGAATCGCTCCTCCATAAGATCGCTGTCCCAATTTTGATCGGGGAAAGGTGGTACCGGCCATGGATCCTCGCTGGTACTCAGCCACGATGGCCCCCTCCACCAGAGAGGGTGATTCACGAGATCGCTCGGCAAGACCCCCCTAGAGGCACAATCAGCCGGGTTGTCTCGTCCCGGAAGATGATGCCAAATGGCTTCAGACATGGTCGTCTGAATGTCGGTCACGCGGTTAGCCACATAAGTTTTCCATCGGGATGAGTGACCTTGGATCCAATCTAGGGCTACGGTAGAGTCGGACCACAAATGGATCGGCGTCTCCGACACTCTCAAAATCCGTCGAACGTGAGCATCAAGCCGGACAAGCAGCGTGGCGGCGCATAGCTCCAGGTGCGGCAAGATGACCTGTTTCAGAAAAGCCACCTTAGTTTTAGCCATTATTATCCTCACTTGACGCCCGCTGTCACCGGAGTCTGCCCGTACGTAGAGGACGGCCGCGTAGGCTCGCTCTGACGCATCCGCGAAGCCGTGAAACTCGATCGCCCCTCTGGAGCCACCCAGCAGTAGACTTCGAGGCACTCTGATCTCCTCCAGTCGTGGCAGCTTTACCTGGAAGTCCCGCCAAAGTAGGATGCCGGCGTCGTCGAGCGGGGTGTCCCAATCTAAGCCTCTCAGCCAAGTGGACTGAAAGAGGATCTTGGCCCGCATCACCACTGGGGCCAGTCACCCCAGTAGATCGAAAAGACGCGCCATCAAGGCCAACACGGATCTCTTGGGATAACCCGTATGGCTATTACTTTCATGTTGTAGGAGAAGCAGTCCAAGCTCGGATGCCACTGCAAACCGAGGGTCGAGTGACAGTCTTGCGGCAGCCAGGTGTGCTCGTCACTCAACAGTCTGTGCTCCAGCGGCACCTCAGAGAGAAGCTCAGGTTCGTTGGCGGACCACTTTCTCAGAGGAAACCCGCCCGTCCTGCACAAGTCAGTCAACTGTCGTTGGATATCTTTGGTCTCCTCGATGGAAAAGGCTCCAGTGAGGATGTCGTCCATGTAGACGTCCTTCCTCAGAATGGCTGCGCCTCGTGGAAACTGCTCCTCCTTATCCGCAGCGAGCTGCCGCAGGGTGCGCATGGCCAGGAAAGGAGCGCAAGCCAGCCTGTATGTGACTGTGTTAAGGTGATACTCGACAACCTCAGTGCCAGCGTCGTGACGCTAAAGAATCCTCTGCATCCAGCGATCCTCAGGCGCAACGAGTATCTGTCGATACATTTTTTCGACGTCGGCCGCCAGCACATAGCGGTGAGATCGCCAACGCACCAGAACATTAGCTAGGGAGAGAAGCAGGTTCGGGCCTACAAGCAGATAACTGTTTAGAGACTCTCCGGAGGCGACCCTCGCCGAGCCGTTAAAAACGACACGGAGTTTCGTCGTGGAGCTCGACTCGCGCATCACACCGTGATGGGGAAGATAACAGGCTCCGCTGTCCTCTGCGGTATCCAAGGGCACCGGGGATATGTGGCCCAGCTCTTCGTATACTCGCATGAAATTGTCATAGAGTTGGCGCTTTCGTTGAGAGCGAATCTCCGCTCCATCTGTTCGAGCGCCCGAGACATTGGTCGCCTCGTTCCCGAGAGGTCCGGGAGCCGGTTAGCAGTAGGAAGGCGTACGACGTAACGGCCGTCCTGTCGGACGTGCGTGCGAACGAAGAATTCCTCGCACTCAGCTTCCTTCACAGAAAGAAGAAGCAGAGCTGGAGCTACTTCCTCTTGTCTCCAAAACTGTTGCACCAGCTCGCTGAGGTGGTCGTCCACCAAGCACTGGTGAATCCGAGTGCTTTCCGCCTCCCCTCGCTCGCCGGCCGCGCCCAACAAGATCCATCCAAGCCTAGTCTTCTGAGCAACCGGCTCTCGCATGTCGCCCCGCCACAGACCCTCCTCGAAGACGTCCGCATACACTTCCGCTCCGAGGAGGAGGTCGACAGGATTGGTCGCCATGAATTCCGGATCCGCCAGCTCCAGCCCGCTCAAGTGCCTCCACTCCTGCCCGTCAGCGCGCACATCCCCGTAATAACGCGTGAGTCAAGGGAGTTTCAGCGCCGACACTTTAACTGCAGACTCCCCGTTCCGCCCAGAGACCTCAAGGGCAACCATCCCTCGAGCTACGCCCGTCAATTTTCCACCGACCCCCAAGATCATTGTTGAGGTGGGCGACCGCCGTAGCCGCAAACGCTGCGCCAGTGTCTCCGAGACGAGCGATGACTCGGCCCCGGGATCTAATAACGCACGGAAGCGGGATGCATCACGCCGAACCGATCAGCGACAAGAACTCGCGCAGTAGCTAAAAGCACGGCCACCGGAGGACGGATCTTTCGCTGAGCTAAGTGCGCGCTCGTAGAGGTCCCGGCGTCGGGAATCGCGTCATGCAGAGACGTATGGTGGCGAGAGTTGCACTACGAGCATGTCTTCCTCGACGTACAATCGCCCAGCTGATGCTTACCAAGGCACTTTATGCATAGCTGATTTGCTTCGACGTGCCGCCTCCGCTAGTCGATCTAGTCGACTTTCGCTGATAAGCATCGCAGAATATGATAAAATATCCTTGTCAACACCTTGGAGCAATGTTCGCGTTTAGTTTCTCGCTTGCTCGCAAGCAGTGCACGAGTGGATCGCGGCGAACACGCACTTGCCTTCGGAGCCATAACCTCCGCCCCGCCAGGCCGCAGCGACTCCAGCGTGTGCAATCTGTGGTCGAGGAACTGTTTTATTGTCGTAAACGACGGCGGTTCCGTGCAGTCACTAGTAAAAGTCTCCCACTCGCGACGCGATCGCGGATCAAGAAGCTCAATGATTAAGTGCACGAACAAATCGTTGTCACTAGAGATCGGCCTCCCGATGCTCTCCAGAGCGCCGACCGTGCTCATAATGCAGTGATATAACTTTCGCAAGTCGGTCAACGACTCGCTCTTTATCTTAGGAAAAGACATGAATGGCGTCAGGTAAGAACGAACCAGAAGTCGTTTATTTTCGAAAAACTCTGTTAATACCTTCCAAGCTCGTTCATAGTTCTCCTCATTCGTCGGCAAGGAACGCACTAACAATTCAGCTTCACCCTTCAGGCATAACTTTAAATAGTGCAGCTTCTCCATCTGAGTGACTGTAGTGTCCTTCCCCACAATGGAGGAAAACAGGTCACGAAAGGAAGGCCACTCCTCATAGCGGCCTGAGAACAACGGCAACTGGATTCGCGGCAACGTCGTTTGCGTCGACGGCTGACAAGGGGAGGACCAGGTGACTTACCGTGGGATTTCGACCCCAATTTTTTAAATTATTCTAGAGATGAAAAAAAAGATACGTGTCCCGGCGTTTGATTGAATAGGCCTTAGTTTCGGAGTAATAAATTTGTGAAAATTGGCCATATCCGAAGCGCACCGCGGCGCGCCATATGAGCCTTCCCAGTAACTGTACTTCCAATCAAGTGCAGTTGGCTTCGTGAGTTAGGTGCTTGCTTCATAATTCGTAAGATCCAAGTTCGCTCACGGAGGTGAGCAATAATTTTTTTTTTTAATGAGTGTTTTTATTTATTTTTATTTATTTTAATGATATTGATATAGTATGCAAATTTTTGAAATAGAAAATTTAATTTAATATCATTCTAAACATTAATTTAAATTTAATTTTAAGAGAATTTTAATTCAAGTAATAATATTTGAAATAATAAATAAGTAATAATAATAATATATAAGTTATTTGTAATGGATAACATATAAAGGCAACGTATCTAAATTTTCAAATTGTTTAAATTTAAAGTTTAATTGGAAATAATATTAACAATTTTTAAATTTCTAGTTTTTAAAATAATTAATCGTAGAAGAAGAAGAATAAACAAACATCTGAAATGTGAATATGAATATTTTTATTACAAAATTCAATTATTTAAGTATTGCGGATTTATTACAAAATTAAATTATTTCGATGCGGAACAATTACTTGGATGATAAACATCATAAAAACATTTAAAGTATATACATTTTCTACAGTTTGCACAATGAATAAATGAAGGAGTATCACATATACATTTATTTTTTCGTAAGTCCGGGGGGAAACATATTTCGTTGACGTTTCGAAAGACATTTCTTTCAAGAATTAATTTCGATGCAAACCAAGCGTACTTGATCATATCTGTAAAAGCTCCCGATGATAATTGTGAATGAATTAAAGAATGAATCTTTTTATACTATATCTTTTTATACTATATCTTTTTATACTATATCAATATCATCAAAATAAATAAAAATAAATAAAAACACTCATTAAAAAAAAATTATTGCTCACCTCCGAGCGAACTTGGATCTTACGAATTATGAAGCAAGCACCTAACTCACGAAGCCAACTGCACTGGTTGGAAGTACAGTTACCGAGAAGGCTCATATGGCGCGCCGCGGTGCGCTTCGGATATGGCCAATTTTCACAAATTTATTACTCCGAAACTAAGGCCTATTCAATCAAACGCCGAGACACGTCTTTTTTTTCATCTCCAGCATAATTAAAAAAATTGGGGTTGAAATCCCAGGGTGAGTCACCTGGTCCACGAGACCTTCCCAATGCTCTGTGAGGAGAGTTTCATGTTGCTGTTCGAATTGTGTCCAGTAAGCCTCAAGTGTTTGTAATCGCGCCTCCACCAATCCTAACGTAATATTCGCGGCGCCTGTTTTACGGAGGTTTTCGAAGGAATGGGCTATCCTACCGTAGAGCTTCTGTTGCGAGCGCACTATTCCTTCAACCACCTTGTTCATCTTCCTTTGTTTTGCAAAAGAACACCGTCAAGTAGATGTCAGCCAACTCACTGAGACACCGATCACCTGGTTAAAGTACAAGCACCAGACGTAGTGATCCGGCTCGAAGGACCAGCAAATGTTAACGCGCTTACGTGGCTCGTGTCGAGTCAGCAACACTTTCATAAGCAACCGGCTGAGAAGGCCGCGGTTAGAACACCTGGCAGCTCTAAGGAGCGAGAGGTCAATCAGCAAAACAAATTGTCAAAGTTATATCACTTTAATACACATTCACTCACAATTTACTTTCCAATCTTTGTTTTACGCGTAAGGTACATTATCGATCGGCGAGCGCCGAATAGATTAGTAAGCTCGCTCAAAGGTGCAGCTGCCAAGAAGTAGCGAGCGCCGAGCAGTCCAGTTCGGTAAAAAACGACGGCTAAAGAACAGAGCGATAGCTTGTAGACAAGCAACGACAAGGCAAACGAAAGCGGCAAGCGAGCCGCAATATCCTTATAATTCGAGCTCGCGCAGGAGACTGACTACTCAGGCCCGTCAAATCTATTGGCTCTCGCTACAGAATATTCTAGAAGGAAACGACGTTCCTTCCAGAACACTCCGCAGCGAGAGCCTAAAAGAAAAACATGTTTTGTTTCGAGGCGCGAGCCTCGCAATTAGCTCGCGAGGTTTGGCTAAGCATTCTTATGAGGCTCCGGGGCGACCGCAGCTAGCATGACTCGCAAATTCGCCTATCTACTTCAATCGCTCCTAAACACATATACTTTACACAGTCTAATAAAGAGTTAAAAAATAAAAAATTCGGTTTTTCTTAGAGTAAAGGACTAAGCATATAACAAAAATAATAAATTATTTCTCCTACCTTCACACTTCTCAGTAGGCAAAGTTGTTATTAACTAATATCTTAACCTTATCGTACA